TTAACAGATGTGCTGGCAGAAGTGCTGGCAACATCCCCACACATGGGCTAGGATGTCCCTGGGTGTCAGAGCAGCTCGGCCATCTCTTCTTGCCACAGAAAAGGCTGTAATTCATAGCTAAGGTTTAAATTTTGAGATGTTTTGAGGATGTGAGCCAGCCATTTTAGATGAAAGCTTGACAATATTTATCAGATAGATGAGAAACACCTAGAAGTAACCTAAAGGTACTACTTCTGAGAAGGTTCAGAAAGGAAAAATTCCATGACCACATGGGATAACTAACATACAGGGGAAGATATTTGTGTCACACATTCATTATAGTGGAAAAAATTGGAAACAGATTATGTCCAAAAATAAGGCAAGGGTTAAATTAGTCCCCTCAATGGAATACCAAGCAACCAGCAAGCAGTAATCATGAAAATCACATAGCAACATGGAAAAATGTTGTTAGCAGTCAACTGGGAAGGCAGGATAAAAACTATGTCTGTTATAACTAGAAAATAAAAAGCATGTGTGCCTATGCAGAGGAACTAAAAGGAAGACCGGAAAATTTTAAACAGTTAGATTTTAGGAGGGTGAATATTCTGCCTTTGATTTCATTAGTATTACTGTCATGCTGATCGTGCCGTCACAAAGACGGGAAAAGGGGACTTTTGATCTAACTACCAGGAAAATTCCACAAACTTGGCACAACCTGGATGGGTTCACATGGAACCATGGCCCAGACCTGTGCTCTCCTGTAGGCACCACAGTGGATTTCTGATAGGCATGGTCCTGCTGGCTGGCATCTGGTAGGAGTCTGGAATTTGGGGAACATCTCTCCCAAAATGCAGGAGCTCTGTTGTTATTGCTCAAATCAAAGAAGGAAAAGCTGCAACCTGCATGTGGTGGCAGTTCTATGGAAGACAACTCAGTCTCCCAACACCAAGTGCCCCAAAGCCCAACTCTCTCCTGCAGAAAACAGGTGGGCCTGTGCCCGCAGGGTCAACACTGTGGTTGTCCAACTGGGCCTGGTCCAAGACTGCCCAATTGCACTTGGCAAGTGTGTTTGGCAAGGGGTGAAGATTCAGAGCTCTGGTGCCCAGTGAGGCATTAGCAAGGAGGGTGCTCTTCGGACTCGTGGTATGAAGTTCTGCAAATTCCTAGGCGACTCTGGGAAAGGGACTTGACAACACAGAAAAGTCTTAGGTCTACATGTTCCAGCCCAGTAGTATCACGTGTGGAAACTGGTCCTAAGGCAACAATCTAGAATTCAGAAAAAACAAAATGCAGAAAGACTATCCTCTAAGCATTGTTTGTAGTATTGAAACATTAGAAACACAATGAATGAACATAAAGAGTTGAATTACATGACGAACCATTATATAGCCATTAAAAATGAGACCAGCAGTATGTTTGCAAAAACCATGGGTAAATTAATTATGCTAAGAGAGAAAAGAAATACAAAAGAATTGTACATGCAGCATCATTCCACGTACAAGGCTGGAGGTAGCACATGAAGGAATCTGGCTGCCACCACGCGTGGTCTCTGGGCAGGAGACTGTCGTGCCTGCTGTCCACTCTTCTTCCCAACACTTAGGGGTTGTGCAAGGCTAACAGGTCTACGAGTAATTCACTTTTTCCCTTTCCTCCCCTGTATTTCCTTTCTTTAAACTTAAAAAACACATGTGACTTTATGAAGAAATTATACCTACAATATGCTAAGTTAAAAAACACAACCACAACATTTCTGGGAAATCTATCAGAAGTCTGGTTATTTTTAAAAAAGCCTTTCTTTTCAGGATTATACTACATTCCTCTGCTTCAACAAAAAACAATTAAGAACGGAGGCTTAAAACATAAATAGAAATTGTTTTAGAGATCGGAACAAAGGCGTAATAGCCTTAGTATCCAATGAAAAGGAATTAAACTGAAAAGAATTGAGAGTTTATTCCCATCTTTGTGAGCTGTCTGACTCTGCTAGTATTTCTGAGTCATGGCTTCTCCATCTTTACAATGAGGAAATCGGACACCATCGTCTCAAAGAACCACTGCATGTCCAGGAGTCTAAGAGAATTAGGACAACAAATGAAATTCAGTTTAGGAGGAAAAAAAACACTCAATTTAATTGAGGTGATCAGAGATTGGACTCGTTCCACCGTCTTGCTACAACACTTATTCCAAACAACTGCTGCCCGTCTTCTAGGTGGAGAAGGCACCAGCTGAGGGTGGTCACCGCCGTGGCCTCACTCCTCTGGTGTCAAATCTGCTGTCCCAATTCCTTGCCTTGTCAGTGTGATGCTGTGCAGAAAGTCACAGCTCTTACTGTGTTTTAGAAATAAGAGATTTTTTTAAAGGAAAGAAGCTCAAGACTGTCATAATTTAAACCTCATATATAAATGCCCAACGCAGGTAACTAAATAAAACCTCAAGGTTCTGAATAAAGTCTCATCTCTGAGAAGACCCACACTTAAATAAAAACATCCAGGATTATTGACACATTTCATGTTATTTAAAAAGGTAGAAAAATGTACTTAAAAATGATAAGCCAGGACAGAAGAGAAAGTTTCAGCATCTAAAAACAAGGGCTATTATGGTACATTATCATAACTAACTAATTCACCCATCCATTTAGTAATTCAGCATTTACTGGGTGAAAGTTGGATAACTGGGAAGCTTAAGGAAACACAGGAAATGCTGCTGGTGACGAGAAGATGTTAAACCAGAAGAGCGGAACGCACAGGTGTGTGAGGCCTGGCGCTGGCCGCGTGGGGCAGAGAGGGCAGGGCGTGTGCCTGAACCACGTGGACGCGTCCAGACAGGGGCGCCGGATGCTGGGCCTGGCTCTGCCATTTGGGAGCTCGAGCCACCACCTGGGGTGCTCCGTGTGTGAGACGGAATGACAGGGTGCCACCTGCAGAGGCCCTGTGAGGGGACGAGCTCACGAGCTGCATAGAAGCAAGTGCTCTGAGAGTGTCACCATGATCATTTTCAAGGTTTTTCTTGAATGTTGCTGATGCCTGAGTTGCAATTTAAAAGCCAATAATTAGATGTTTTCAAAATTTCAAAATTTAAAAGGTACAACTGAAACAAACCAATCAGTGGATCTAATTTTGTAGCCCCATCTCCTAGGTCCAGAGCGCGGGTGAGCTGCTCACTGCAGAGGCTGGCAGCAAATCCCCACATCCTCCTGGACACACACTGGGACCTAGGGACAAGTGCCACACTGTTGCTTTAATAGAAGGAGGCTACAAGCCAGGGTGGGCTCCGAAGACCACCCTAAAACAAACTTGGGGACTGCGAGCTCATCCCTGGCACGGGGAACCACTGTCTCAGCCGCCATGGGTTCTGGCCCGGGACCAGGCCAGAATACAAGGTAGGATCTGGATCTCACAAGGGAAAGGGTGAGGCTGGTTTCCCAGGCAACGCCATTCCTCTCAGGCCAGGAAAACAGCTCCCACAGCATTTTTCAAAGTCCTAGCCATCTGGTCTTTGCAACACTGTGTGGGTATCCCCACTGACCGGATACAAACCTCAGGTCTCTACGGCTAAGTGATTTGCCAGAGATCAAAAACGTGAGTGGTAGAACCCGGCCTCAAATCCATCACCACAGCTACACTTTTCATTTGGAGCTTTGGGTTTTAGCACACTTGCTATTTTGGGCATGTTCTTATCATCTGTGTTTTGGCCACAGATAACTTATTCTTTAAGGAGAGTCTAAAATGAGTTCAACGCTATGAACATTCCATTAAAAAAATAGAGTGATTTTACTTTAACAGATTAATAGGCACAGTGATCTGTAACTTTACAGAGCAAAACTATGTAAAAGAATAATTTTCGCACAGCGAATAAGCAAATGCCTGTATATTTCACATACCTTCATTGTGGAGTAATAGCTATAAAATACTCTACAGATATGAGGTACACAATGGAGGTATTTCTAGTCCAATCTTCTACTCGACTCAGAAATTCCCTTCCCAACATTTCTGACAATAAATATCTGTCTTGCATGAAGGACTTCCAGTGGGGGGAACTTGGTTTTGAAGTCAGTGGGCCCACTGTCCTCTCTAGCTGTGTTCCTCACTCACAGCCACAGAACCACAAGAGCCCTGTGGTGCGTGGCTTGTCCACAACCCTCTTAAACTGGAGCCACCAGGACAGCATCTAATGCTGCAAAAGTAACCTGGCCTGGAGCTAATAAGTGATTACAGAAAGGTTGCTGGATACAAGGTTAATATATAATACAAAAGTCAATTGCTTTGCTATATACCAGCAATGAACAAGTAGAATTTGAAATTAAAAACACAGTACCATTTACATTAGCATGCCCCCAAATTATTTATATATAAATCTAACAAACTATATGCAAGATCTATATGAGGAATCCTACAAAACTCTGATGAAAGACATTATATCAAAGAACTAAATACATGGAGAGATATTCTATGTTCATGAACAAAAAGACTCAACTTTGTCAAGATGTCAGTTCTTAATTTCATCTGTAGATTCAATGCAATCCCAATCAAAGTCTCAGCAAATTTTGTTGTGATTACTGACAAATTGATTCTAAGCTTTATATAGAAAGGCCAACTCCCAGAATAGCAAGCAAAATACTGAAGGAGAAGAAAAAAGTTGGAGGACTGACACTACATGATTTCAAGGATTACTATAAAGCGACAGTAACCAAGTGGTATTGGAGAAAGAATAGTCAATAGAACAGAATGGAGGACGCAGAAATAGACCCACATAAATATAGTTAACTGATCTTTGACAAAGAAGCAAAGGCACACAATGGAAAAAAGACAGTCTTTTCAACAAATAATGCAGGAATATTGGACACCGGCATGCAAAAAAAATGAATCTATAACATAGGAGACAATAAAGATAGATTTGGGTTTGTTGATGACTTCTGAGATACAGCACCGAAGGCATAATCCATGAAAGAAAGAACTGATAGGCTAGATTTTGTTAACATTAAAAATTTATGTTCTATAAGAGAATGTAAAGACAAGCCACAGAAGGAAGAAAATATTTTCAAGACATATCAGATAAAGAACTATTTTCAAAAATATACAAAAAACTCTTAAAACTCAGTAATAAGAAAACAAAGAAAAAATTAAAAAATTGGCCAAAGACTTTACTAGACATCTCACCAAAGAAGATGTACAGATGATCTATAAACATATGAAAAGAAGCTGCACATCACAAGTCATCAGAGCAATGCAAATTAAAGCAAGAGTGAGATACCAAATTCCGGTGAAGAAGTGGAGTAACGTCATTCCTGGTGGGAATGCAAAATGGTACAGCTGCTTTGGAAGACAGTTTTGTCAGTTTCTTACAAAACTAAACACACTCTTATCATACAATCCAGCAACTGCACTGCGTGGTGTCTACCCAAAGGAGCTGAAAACATATCCGCACAAAAACCTGCACACAGATGTTTATAGCAGCTTTATTTATAATTGCCAAAACATGAAAGCACTTAAGATGTCCTTTAGCAGATGAACAGATTAATAAACTGTGGTACATCCAGACAATGAAATATTATTCAGTACTAAAAAAAAAAAAATGAGTGATTAAGCCATGAAAACACATGGAGGAAACTTCAATGCATGTTACTAAGTGAAAGAAGCCAACCTACCAAGGCTGTATACCGTATGGTTTGGACTATATGGAAAAGGCACAAATATGAAGGCAGTAAAAAGGTCACTGGTTGCCTGGGATTGGGGGAGAGGGAGGAATGAACAGATGGGGCACAGAGGATTTTTAGGGCAGTGTAACTACTCACCATGATACAGTCATGGTGGATACATGTCATCAGGCATTGTCCAAACCCATGTGTATGATACCAAGAGTGAACCCTAGTGTAAACAAATCGTGGACTCTTGGGTGATAATGATGTGTCAGTGCAGGTTCATCAATTATAACAAATGGACCACTTTGCTGGGGGATGTTGAGAGTAGGGTATGGTGTATCTCTGTATCTTCCTCTCAATTTTGCTGTGAATATACAACTGCTCTAAAAAATAAAATCTATTCATAAAAAATTTTTAAAAAGTGATCCGGTTTCTGGAGAGCTGGTTCTCGGGTGGTGTCTGTTTCCATGTGGGTCAAAGCATTGACTCACGTCAAGTGACTTGTTGAGTCACATCTCCAGAACATTTTTACACTTACAGCTGGCGAGGCAGGTCACCCACATCCTGTCTTACTACATTTTCCCCAAACTAAATCCAGGACTTGACATTTATTCCACTGAATTTGGTCTTGTTCGAGTCGGACCACTATTTCCAGCCTGAGGAGCCCTGGCCTACCTCCCCCAGCAGTGCTCCACCCAGCCCTGTGTAAGCCTCTATAAAAGGAAGCTTCCTTGCAAGCTCACAAAGAAAGGAAACCTGCATAATGAAAGTGCAAAAGGAAGTTGTGTCACTGAATCCTTTTTCTCCCCAGTAACCAGGAGATGAGACAATGAAGCTGCATTTACTCACCTGCTCCCTGCTTCAAAAGCTCAGCTGCAGAATTGGCTGCAGTCTGGGGAGAATTTTCTGCTATTTCCTCCATTGGATCTGTAGGAAGGGCAAGAACACACGGAAATGAGTCCTGCTCCCAACAAAGAATCCTCAGGAAAAAGTCAGACGATCTGATGACAGAATTCCTAGACAGTGACATGTACTGGTTTTGCAGAGTTGAGTGAGAGTTTTTCTTGGGGTAACAATCCATCCCCTAGAAATTATGATCACATTCTGAACAAAAATAGAGATGACACGGTTCAACAAAATATTTTCTGATCTCTGAATTACTCTATATGAATAATTAAATTTTAAGAGGTAAATCACATTTACCTCTATTTTAAATTAGATCATCTTTATGTGAGATTGAGACTGCTTAGAAAAGCTGGGACATACATCAAACCACCTCGATATGCTGTGGGTGTTATTTTTTTTAATGTTTTATTATGCATATTTTCAAACCAACATAAAAGTAAAAAGAACGACAGTTCGCCTATCACCTAAGTTAACAGCATCAATATTTTGCCCATTTTTAGAATCATAAACATTAAATGTAAATGACCCTGAAGGTCTCTTAGTCTGAGTGTTTTATATTTTTAAGCTACAGAATTTTTGCTCTATGGAAACCTTCCATCAAAATCCAAGATATGTGGAAGCTGCCAGGTAAAGCGAGTCTCCTCTTTTCTCCTTGACTCGCGTGATCTCCAGCCCTCTCTTGGGTTTATTCACAAAGCACATGTTAGAAAAAAAACTACCAGTCTGATTTTTCCTCAATGAATCTCTATGAATCCCCAAAACCAGTGTGCCTTGGCAACTGCAGGTGACCCTACACAGTGCCAGACCAGCACTGAGGACCCGTACCTCTCTCCGGAATGAGCAGTTTGCAGGGCAAGGCCAAGGGCGTGATGGAATGTTGACACACCAAAGCCGTCAGGCTCCCTGCAGAAAGGACAGACAGCACAGAGTCACAACTGCCCTTTGTGTTTCGTGCTCAGCCAGTTTATCAGCTGAAATGAAAGGGCTGCAAAGTCTGAGCCCTTACAGTTTTAGCAGCTAACACCCTCGATTACTGTGGGACTTGGTGCAAAACTTCAAAGTTCAACAGGGTAAGTTCAACAAGACCGTTAAGAGGTAAATAAAGGAAACTGCAGATGATCCTTAGCATAGACACATCATTACCAAATTATAAAGAATAAGCCATACTGTTCGCTTGATTCAAAATTAGGGCTGGGATTACGATAACTCTAACTTTTACCACATTTATCACCATGCATAATGCTTCTAAAAGGGCTGTGATAATGAGGACGCCTTAAGTTCACGCTGTGCTTTGTGTGGCTGGCTCAAGTCATCTTTGCAACAAGCCTGGGAGGCAGAGAAGGCTCTGCATTCACAGGGAGGGAAGAGGACTCTGCTGGGAGCTCTGGGCCCCTCCCTGTGCCCATGGGATGGGGTCACACAGGAGCTCTAACCCTGTCAGGACCCATCTCCCTGCCAACGAGGATGAGGTCTTGTTGACGTCTATGATTTCTAGCCCTGGCGCAGTGCTCTTCATTTGTTTGATCTTCACAAAGCTTTTAAGAACAATTTATATGCAGTTTATCTTCAAGATAATAATTCAGATGAGAGGGATCTCAGAACTGGGGACTGAAATACCAGTGAACCACCACGAGAGGGACGGTCCCAAATCTCAGGTTGGCGAGCAGAGGGAGCCCCAGACCTCCTGCATTCAGCATGCTGACAGCAACCTCTCAAGCAACTCACCGAAATAGGGTTCATTCGAGCACCCTTTCAACCTCACTCCCTTCGGGGTACACTCGATCAAAAAGTGCCGAACGAGTTCATTGGCCAAATCTCCACCTGTGGTAAGATATTAAAGAATTTTTTTAAAAAAAAATGAGAGCATGGAAGGATTTGAGAGAGAGAGAACAGCTGTTGAAGCCAGGAACTACCCTCGGGCATGAGTCTAGCCACAGCGCACTTGGGAGCTGCCCAAATCACCCTAGGAGTGGTAGCTGGGCTGCAGGACAGCTGGGTGGCCACAAGCCAGAAGGACGGTGGGAACCCCGGCAGTGACGATGCCAGGGATGGAGGGGTCCTTGGGAGAGACCCCCAAACATTCTGCAAGAATCCCCAGCAAAGGCAATGAGCTTGCAGCTAAGGAAGAGGACCACGGACTCCAGCTTTGTCTCCTTCCAAAGAGAAGAGGTGAGAAAGAGTCAGACACAAAACGCTACCTTGTAATGAACTGCTAAAAAGATCTGGAAAGAGGTCAGTCTCCTGGGTAGGTTTAGCCTGGAGCCTGGGTACATAAACTCCTTCAGAAAGCAAGCACCGGCTGCATGGGAACAGCATTCTGCCACACCGCTAGTAAGCAGAACCTCTGCACTCAAGCCAACCCATTGAATCCAAAAAGAGTGTATCTCAAAAAGCCACTGCAGGGCAGAACTGTCCAATGGTGGAAAAGTGCAGATAAACAAGAAGAAAAGGAAGTCACTGCCCTATGCTGATGAATCCAACAGACATTCACAATGGGCTGCATTCTGTCCCCCTGCGGCCTCCTTCAACACCCTCCATGGGAGCGTGTCTGCTTGAACTTCTAATATTTCTGACACTGGAAATCTCCTGGAGGCAGAACCTGCTGGAGTTGGGTTGGTCCTCAGCATCTGGCCCCCAGTAAGCTACGAAAGGATGTTTATAAACAGTGACAAATGTCAATAATAGTGTCAGCATTTCGCAAGGGCAGTGAAGCTTGCAGAAGAAAAAGATGATCCGATTCCACCAAAGGCTGGGGACACTAAACGTGGGTCTGGATGCCACCTGTGAGAAGTGGCTCAGTGAAAAACCCTCTGGCTGAGATTCCCTGGAGAACAACATCATGAATGTCCATGGCTGTCCCCTCTCCAGTTGCTGGAGGTGGTATGGTGACTCTCGGAGCTCTTTACTGGTTGATAAACTCTTCTCTCAAATCTATCCTTGTACTGCAAAATCAAAATGTCAAATCCAGGAGCAGGAAGACATAGCAGCCAGATAAAATTTCACCCAGAGGACACCAATGGCACTGAGTTTCCTGAAGTCTGCTATTCTAATATCCTCTGTTTTGTTACCTTCATCTTAACATTGAGTCTAAAGTCTGCCTGAGAGGTAGGATGCATTCCTGGAGGTAACACTAGTCACACACCACCGCCTCTATTTCCAAGGAGATGACGTACACAGAGGTTTTGTTTGTTCTTGCTTTAAAACTTTAAATGGATGGACACCAAGGAGCTGAGCAAAATCCAACAGCTGCCGTCTTTCATTCCTGTGCCCAAGTTAATCTCTCATCTCTACAGAGTCGCCAGGTCTTCTCATCCTGAGACCCTTTTCCTGCTCTCATCATTATCCAGCTTGCTTCCGAATACGGCTCCGACAATATCCACAATCAGGTCTGATTCAGCTCTCTAGCCCCAAAAGCCAGTATTTCCACTGGAAAGCAGCACTTTGTTGGGCTTTTCAGGCTAGAGTTCTGGATGCTGAAAGATTCTACTTTTCAAGAGTGACCTATTCCATCTCTCCTACACACAGCCTTCTCTTCCCTTCGCTTCCAGACACAATCGGTACCCATGCGTTAGGGGCTGCGCTCTGGCCGAGGGTCTGGCTCCTTCCCACCCCACTCACCAGGCCTTCCTCGCACACACTGCTACCTTTGCCAAAACAAACCCATCCACGTTTCCTGGAGACTGCAGCCGTGCCTGAGGCCGGACCTTCTGGCAACCCAATCTGACATTCTGCAAGGCACAACTCCAAGGTGATTTTCTCCAGGAAGCTTTAAGCAGAGGTTGGTTCACCAGAGGATTTGGATAAATCCTCTCAGGTACTAGATGTGGAACACGAGTGAACCAGGCGGGTGTCTCACTTCTCTGTAAACACAGGGAGTTCAAAATCTGCGCTTCTTCCAATCTATCCCACTCCTAGTGAGCCAAGGTACCCTTACAGGGAACCAATGACCCGGTGACATTCCCTCAGTCCACAATTTCCATTTTGGGGGGAAAGAGAGGGTAAGAGAATCTTTTCCCTTTCCTAAGAGTTCGTGGCATAGCAGCACACCAAGATGAGTACATACAGGGCCAGAAAGGGCAGGATAAGAAGAAAGAAACAAAAGAAATAAACCAAAAAGCAAGCATCCACCAACGATAGAACAGACGACTAGTCTTGCAGGATAGAGTGGAAAGAGAACAACAACTACAAACAATCTTAAAAAAAATATGATGAACGGATCTTATAATGCTGAGCAAAAGCAAGACACAAAAGAATACGTACTCTATTAGTTTCCTTATTTCAAGTTAAAAAATAGACAACACTATAATGTTTAGAGATTCACATTTTCATGGTTAATATAAAAATGTTAACTTCACATTTTACTTGGTAGGTTTACTACTTACTGTCTGCAGTGTTACTGATAGAGTGATTCAAACTACTTTAGGCATATTGGGAAACAGAGCAAGAAAGTAAATATACTGATCTTGTTGGGACCACGGTCTGCAGCGCGGGAGAAGGGATGCACAGACGTGGGCTGGGAGGGCGAGAAGGAACCTGGTGATGCTGCGTTTGAATTGCAAGTATCAGCATGAGCTCATGAGGTTTTAAAAATGACATGTTCCCTAGCTCTGTTCACTGGAGAGAAGCAGTGATACTCCACAGCAGGGAGCACACCCAGCGAGCAGATCTTGGTGTCCAGATGCCATTCTCCAGCAAACAGCACCAGGGATGTGAAGAGAAATGGCTGGGCAGGGAAAGTACAACGTAAGCCGGAAACACGACTGTCATTTCAGAAGCTGGAGCTGCTCGCAGACTGACGGAGATGTCTCAGAAGGACACAGGGGCCCCGCCCAAAGAGCATCAGGGAGACGAATCTGGGACCACTGGAAGACCAAAGGGGACAGTGGTGATGGATGACAACACAGCACAGAGGGTGTGCAGGGGCTTCTGGGCAGGGCTCCCTGTCCTGAGCTGCAGTTACACGTACGCTTGTTTATAATCGTGTTTCACTGTACATGGAAGCATTACAGGCTGTTCTGTGTGTGGTTATGCTGCATGACAAAAAGCAGTAAAAAGAGTAAGTAGAATATTACTGGGAATCTATACGTGATTTGGCTACGATCTGTTGCCTGTGTGGAATGTCTTGGGACAAGGAGTCAGGAAGCCGTGGTCCCCACAGAGGACAGCATGTGTCGTCACTAGTGCTGAGACCTGACAGGAGACCTCCCTGCGGCCTCACTTTACAGGAGTCAGGAAGGCATAGTCTTTACCTTGAGAATTAATAATTTAATGACTCTAGTTTTATACTATATCACTTTTAATCAAGCTAAAAATAGTCTACTGGGTATAGATACAAGAATAGAGTGTGTATTAATAGTATGTTTGCCTTTCATGAGAAAACAGGCAACTGCATAGTTGCCTGCATTTGGATGACAATCGGTGACAGACACGCAAGAGGGTATTACGAATGTAACGTATCCAAGGGTGGGAGGAGATTGTGAGGTCGGTGCAGCTAAAATAGAAGCAAAACGCCCTTGGTGGATGCCTTGTTCTTGTGTTCTGATTTTTGAACAATGGAATCCGTTACTTATTCAAAACAACAGAAAATAAAATTTACAAAAAAATAACGTTCTTTCTTGGACGAGGAGAACACTAAATAAAATATACTTGAAAATATATGTACTAAGAAGAAAACCTGGGAGTATGGTAATAAACCATCTATCGTACCAGCATAATAATAAACCAGCAGAGCCTCTGCATGGGGAGCTGAGCAGGTCAATTCCAGGGCACCTACCTTTCTTGTTCAGCTGCAGGACGGAAGGGGGCGGCGTGGCCACCTTCATGGCCAGTCCGTAGGCCCCTCGGAAGGAGTGACTGTCCCGAACGATGAATGATCCCGGCTCCTTGTCCTTTAACATGGCAATGGCTAGAGGAATGGAGGAAAAGACGTGAGCATCTGCCTGGGTGAACAAAGGTCTGTGTCCACTCAGGGCCTTGGGGTGGGTTCTCTTCCCCTATTCCTTTTGCAAACTGGGTCAGTGGGGAGCTGGCTGGGTCCCCTGCTCAGCCGGAGAAACAACGTGTCCGGACCCTGGGAGGTCTCTGTGGTGTCGTGTGTTTTCATGGGTGGGCCTGACTGTGAGGAGGCAGAGGGGACGAGGCACTTTCTCCTTAGCAAACGGAGGTGTCAGGCACCATCCTGGCCGCTCCTGTGGATATAACATGTGATTTCTGTGAATCCCACAGCACCTGTGACATGCAAATGATGGTCCCTTGCTAACAGCCCAGGAAACCAAGGCTCATGCAGCGTGGGAAAGAGGACCAGATCCAAATACATCCACAGCGGTGGACTAGGACGTGGGAGGGAGGCTGCCACAGCATACCCCGTGGTTGCCACTCCTGGGGGCTGTCTTCCAGCGTGGCATTTTTCTTAAGGATTTTAGAGCATGGACTCTTTCAGCAGAATAATGCAAGTTTGTAACTACACAAAAAGATACTGAATATTTAACACATGTTCTAAGATTCACCCCAGCGGGTGGCAAAAATGTGTCCCACAGGTGGCCCTCTGTCTGTGGCTCCGTAGCAGACGTGGCCAGATGAGCCCAGCCTGGACAGGGCTATGGACTCCTTCTCCACGTGGCCACCACGAATAAAGAGCCTGACACAGTGGGTCGCCCATCTTCCCTGGTACAGCTGGGAGGCATTTAGCTAATCATAACCATTGCCTTAAATAAAAAACCCTCCTCTTCGTGGTCAAAGTCTGGCATTTCCCAGTCCTGTCCTCACGATACAGAGGAGAGAGGGATGGGCTAGGGTGTCGGTAACCTCAACCTGGTGCTGCCCAGACACAGGCCAGGTTGCCAGTTTCTCCGATAACTAGAATAAATCTCAGAATTTCTTTTAGATGTTTACTTTATTAAAAAAAAGGAGAAAATAGGGATTTAGAGTATATAGTTGTACATAATTATAGCTATGGAAATACTGCCTTTCTGGAATGTCAAAGCTCCGTCTGGAAGAGATCAGGGTGCAGAACGTAAATCAGTAAGCGGCAGAAGCCCTGCCCTTCCTCAGTAAATACCTCCGCGGCGTCCTCTGTCAGAGGCCCTGACGTGCCCCCACACCTGTCCTGGCTCACCAACATGGCATTTGTCTGGCTGCAGGATGAAGCAAATGGGTTCTTCTACTATGCGCTTCTCAGCGCCCTGCACCATGGCCCTGTATGCAGGACGAGGCCACAGGGGAGGAGCTCTTGTGGACGTGTGAGTGCGCACAGGGACAGAGGGGCAGGACGGCACAGGCACGCTCACAGAGCGCCCGTGCCTCTGCTGCTAGAGACAGCCGGGCCTGCAGCCACCCCATGCAGGGGCAGCCCAGGGTTGGGACAGGGCCTCCTGGAGGGGTATAAACTCTGCAGACTGATGTATTTTTCCTCATCGCATATTTTCTAAACTCGGGCCTGATCATGTATTACTTTTTTTGAAGTAGGAGAAAGGATCACTTACAGAAATTCCTATTTGAATTGTGATATACCTCACCAAAGCATGCTTTTTTTCAGTCATGTTTTTACTTCCCTGTGGTAAATGCACCACTGCAGCCTCGAGGGACTCAGATTTTGGGCTAAACACGGGCCTAGCAGAGGGGACACCAGCTCCGCTCTGGCTGATTCTCCCCAAGGCCCAGGGCAGCCCCGCGTCCCACAGAAGCCCCAGCAACCAGGGCTGCGCGGGCATGATGGCGCCGTGTTCTCACGGGCCAGCAAAGGGAACTTGGGGAGAATTTCAGACTCATGTGTTTTGGAACAGAAATGAGCTGAGGAGGTCGCTGTGCCGAAGTTGTAAAACCCAGTGATGGTACACTGCACACAGCAGCCGCACGCTCTGCGCGGCGTCGACACTCACTGCCCGGCTGAGGACGGGACGGGCTGGGGGCGGCAGGGCCACATTCCCCTCCCCCCACTCCTGCCCTCCCTGGACACCCTGAGAAAGCACAACTGGAGCAGCAGCACGGATCTCTGTTTCACTCTGGGGTTCCCTTTTCCTCCCAAGGTGTTTTTATGTTCCCCTGAGGACATCCCAAGGAACTGAAGATGTGACAAATCACACTCCCAAAGACGTTGTCGGGTTGTATGGTTTTTCTCCTGCATTGCCCTGAAATGTCTTTGTAGCTTTTCCAGAAAAAGGCACACTGGACAGTTAAAATAAAAACAAACAAAATCCACGAGAAGCCACCAGCCACCTGGAGAAGTGGGCGCATCCAGTGGGACGTGGGTCTGTGCGGGTGTCTTCATACACCACGTCCAGAAAACGGAGGAAGTTACACTTTTAGGGCTCAGGTGGAAAAATCAACATCCAGTGTACACATTAGCCATTCTGAGATGGGGCCACCCAAACGAACCTTTTGAAAGATGTGTGCCGAAGGCCAGCAGGTGGTGAGCAGAGGCGCCGCTCACTGCGCATCTGCCGGGCGCCGGCAAGGGCAGCTGCTTCCCCCACGGGCCTCCCCACAGCCCCGCGAGGCAGCCTCTATCGCCTCTGCCCTGCCGAGGAACCCAACAGATGTCCCAACCCAAGTCTGTCGGCTCTGGAAGCCCCTCTGCTACAAGGACATCGCATAGTGAGAGAAGGGGGCGGCCCAGCCCCACATGTCACTGGTCTAGAGACAGTGCCAACAGAGCAGGAAGATCTGCACGGAATCTTCTAGAACATGGTGCTCCATAAGCACCTCCGGTCTGGGCAGCTGGGAGAGGGGGTGCCCGGGCTCTGGAGGCCCCAGTCTTCGGGATTCTTGGGACAAGAGCAGGGTCAGGATGGTGGCAACAAGAACACAGCCTCCGGCCGCAGTGGAGCCCTTGGATGTGTGAGCGGCTCTTCACAAAGGCCGATTCAGGCAAATCAAAGTCTGCCCGGGCCATGGGCTTCTTTTTTTTTCTCTCTTCCATTTAAAATGACAATAGCTTCTTTGAGCTCATGGGCAGAAATGCACGTTCTTACCATTTCTATTATCTACACAATGGAATAGCAGAATTTCAGTGAGGGGTCGGATGGGGCTATGTTTTAGCCACTTGACTGTTCATGTTGAGGCATATCTAAGACATCGTCGCAAGGAGAGAACCGGATGATTCTCTCCTGAAGTTGAGACAAGGAGGTCTCCTGACGCCCCTGGGCAGCTCGCCACTTCTCACCACTTTAAACCATCCCACGTCCACCAGGCAGCAGCTGGACTCATCCCGCTTCCTAGGAATCCTGAGTTTGCCGTCCGGCCCTGCCCTCCCTGGACGCTCACATACCTCCCTCCAAGGCCCGTCCCAGGAAGGTCAGGCGTCCAGGGGAACACACACTCGGCTGCGTCCCAGCTCCACGGCGGAGGGCAGTGCCTTGCGTGTGCAAAGCAACACCCCAGGGGACTCAAATTCTGCCACTGTCTGGGGCTGGCTCCAGCGGGGACTGCCACCCGTCCTCTCTCCCACATCTCTTCTATTCCTGTTCCAGTTAAAAGTGACGCCCCACTCAATTGCTATAAAATTTTAATGATTTCAAATTTTTTAAAATTGTCTTAAGGCTGTACCAAGCAGAGAGATGCCCTGGCTGGTTTGTATGTGAGGCACTCGGTCGCCTCCACAACTGGGTCTCGCGATTTAGTGCTTTTCTTCAGGACTTGGACCGAGGCAGGTGTTCACGAACACATGGGGGCCCTGACTTCACAGGGCAAGCCACATCTCCCTCCCTTGGGACCTCACCCTCTGAGGCTTAGGGCCTCTCTGGAGACGCCAGGAGAGCGTGTCTCCTCCTCACAGTCAGCAGCTGTGGGCTGGCATCGCTGGCAGGTGGGAGCAGCCAGATGTCACACCCCACACGCTGCAATGCTTACGGCTGGTGCCCACTCCTCACCACAGCCCTCATTAGTGCCAAGCTTTCCTGCAAAAATGTAATGGTGACAGCATTTCCCCTGGAGGCATGGAATAATGTGGGAGGCCTTGCTCTAACTCCGTCCACCCACACCAAGGCCATGGGTCCCTGATGGTCCCACTGCAGGGCCAGTCCTCACACAAGAGTCTAACTCTCAGTGGGACAGATGCCCGAGGAGGCCCTCAGCCTCCACACGTACCTTGTTCTCTTGAAATATCCGCCTTGTACCAGAACTTGGAAGTGTCTTGAACAAATTTCACGATCACAAGTTTATCACCCGGACTATCTGTAAAGCAAAATTTGAAAACAGTGGCTGTGCAGGGCGGTGCTTTTCTTTGCAACCTCTCATCTGCAATGATCCTAGGAGTCCAAATTCCACACAGAGGGTGAGCAAGGGTGGGAATGTTCTAAGGGGAAGGAACCTTACTTTCAAAATGATGGGGTTGGAGGAGGCAGCAACTGTTTCATAAAACAGAACAAAACAACAGGATGCTTTGATTAGGACTTTGCAGTACATTTTAAAAATACAGTTAGGAAAGTAGGAAGCAAACAGCAAGGCTTGTGCTGTTTAATCAGCGTGTGTCGTATTACTTCTTATACACTTGATACTTCATAATTACATTTCAGATGAATTCATTTAATTTGAAAAAGAGCTATTTTCAAAGAGTAATGTTCCCAAGTGAAAGGGAAAATAGAACCACCGGAAATGTCTGCACTTTCTACAAGTGGAATGAATCTGAAGTGGCTAAACGCAGAAGCCAAGAAGAGTAACTGAGAAGCAGGGAAGTGTCTGGCTTTGGGTGAGCAAAGGAGAAAAGACCCCCGAGGGCCCTGGGTCTCTCTCTCAAGGTGCCCCGCCCAGCAGCGGGGATGTGCCCATCGCCAGCTCCAGCTGCAAATCCCGGACCCTCCCTCTGCTGAGTTAGAGGAGAGAGTGGCCCTTCTGCCCGAGGGAAACACACTTACCTGGCGAAGGTGAGGCCGTTTCTGAAGCCTTGGAAAACTCTGGAAGGACGTTTGGGAAGGGGATGCTGATGGTGCTCCCGCTGTGGGGGCTGGAGAAGCCACTGGAGGAGGGGGAGACGGAGCCCAGAGAACGGTCCCCTTCGGAGGCCCGCTTCTTCTCAGGGAGGGGCGGCTGACCGGGCATTGTCACTCCCTGGCCCTGCAGGCCTGTACTGTGGTGGCCGCCATGTCCGGGAGCCACCGTGAGAAAGTTGTGGGACAGGAAGCCATTGTCGGCAGTCCCTGCCGCTGTCAGCGGGACGCCGGGGGCCGGGGACGCGCCGTGGGAATTGGCCAGCAAGGCCCCCAGGTTCTCCTCGGGGGCAAGACCACTGCCCACAGGAGTGGGGCCAAAGCCCAGAAAGGCCTGGCTGCTTGTGGGGGGCAGAGTGTCCGGCGGTTCTGCCAGGGACAGCTCATGGCTGTGGAAAGAGGCCTGGACCTCCGACGGCGGGAAGCAGGACAGCACCGGGGAGTCCTTGCCGTGGCCAGAGAACTCAGCACCGAGGGGACTTCCTGTGGGCCGGCCGCTCCCCAGCAGGGAGATGGTGGCTTTGGGGCTGCTCTCCACCCACTGGCGTTCTGCAGAAGATGGGCTGTTCAGAAGGCAAGCCAACCGAGAGAGCATGTAAGATACGAGGCACCTCAAAATCAGCAGCCGCCACCCCTACATGGGGAAGACAGGGCCAGAGAGGTGGGTGCTGAGGCTCGCTGTGTAGCACAGGAGGTGTGTTCCAAAATATGCGAATTAAGGCCCTCGTTGAGCTCATGCTGCCCACCTTTCGAGCCCCCACTTCATACCTGAAGCTTACCTCCACATCCGGGGCACCGAGGAAGCTGCCCCCATACAGGCCTCCCCAAACTCTGGTAATAGCCCCCAGACCCTGCCCTTCCTTGACCTTCACCTGGTGAAGTCACTTTCTTCCCACAAGACCAGGCCCAACTGTATCTCCAACTTTGAAGCTTTTTCCCAGCCAGCCCCTGTGCAGTACCCGTGGCCGCGTACGTGTGCACACTGGGGACTGGGCATGCCCTCGCCTCTGGTCCCAGGCGCTGGCATGGACGCCAGGCAGCTTCGCCCCGTGCAGCAGGGCCGTCGGCTCACCGTGCACCTGCTCCCCTCTCAGAGCCTGCCCTGCCTCCCACCTCCTGCACCTGCGCCTGACATGCGGTCAGTGCCAGTAAATACTTGCTGGGTGAATCAGCTGATTAAGGGATGCCCACACATTTAGGAATATGGAGCGACAGTGGAAAGCACCCCACGTGATGTACACTCATCCATTAACAAGCACTCGTCGGGTACATAGTCTATGTGTGATGCCACGTCTTAGGTGAGAAGCCCCCTTTCAAGGAGAAAGGAAGCAGAACTAAGGAAGTTGAATCGAGAGCTACGTGCCCACACAGTAAAGCACAGGAGACTCATTCCTACTCTGGGCAAGCGGAGTCATCCCGCAAATGGATTTCCTCAGGGGCAGCGTCTTTGTAAAACAGAAACAGGACATCATTCTCTGTCCATAGCCTGCCCCTCCCCCTCCTTCCCTCCCTTCCTTTCTGTCCATTTTTATAATCCCCATAAGGCCAATTTTCTTCTATTCCCTGTGTTTGCCTATATTTTCCCACACACCTGCACATACACCTGTCCCCGTGGGCAGCGCTGTCCTGCACACAGCCAGGGATCCTGCCTCGCCCCCAATGCCATGCCAATCCTCACCCGGGCCTGGCTCCGGCACCTCTGGAGAGAAAGGCCTGGCTGACCCCTCAAACCCTTCTTTCCTCCTCAGCTCAGCATTCTGGGTCACTAAGGGGACCTTGTGTCAAGTTTAAAGACACATCTTCTTACCTCTCTCTCCTCTGGCCGGGGCCGTTGCTAGAAATTGTGCAGGAAGATGCAAAGGCCTGCGGGAAGGAAGACGCCGCGGGCGCGTCGGCCCGCAGCATCACGGATTTGGGACCAACGGGGCTCTCAGACATCCCCACTGCGTGACTGAGAGTCTCGGGGCAGCCTCGTGGTTCTATAGCAAGAAAACGGAGAGCAGAGAAACTTTAGTTGCAGGACCCAAGGGTCACCATCGTGACCTCGTCTGTGTGTTCTACAGGGAACAGTGCTGATTTCTGAGCCTTTCTGTCATCCATGGCCACATTGAATATGACACTGTTCATAATAGCTGCAGTGGGCGGCTCTGGGCCCCAAAGCGCAGGCTTATTCTGGGCCATCACTGTTCCCGAAAGGGAAGACACCTAATTCAGTCCCCATACATGGTGTCCGACCCATTACCATGAGCTGGCCAGCGTCGGCAGCACTGTGGCCATGCAGGAGAGACGCATGCTGGGCTACTAGGCCAGTCCTCCCGTCACTCGTCACCAACTGAAGGCCGACGTACTCTAATTACTTTCCACACTCATGATCTCGGCCACTCCTCGCTGTAGAAAGGGCATGGCCTTTTCTCTGCAAACCGGCAGGCGACCTCCACGGAAGGACCCACTCTCCCTAAGTGCAGGGCTCAGGCAGCTACGGTGTCCTCAGCCTCCCTTTGTTCCCACCCTCCCAAGCTGGTAGCGCGGCTGCTGCACGTCAGGCGACTACCGGGCGCGCACCTGTGCCGGTGCCTTCTCGTCTCCTGCTGGGGCTGCCACATTGTGAGGTGCAGCGGCCGCCCTCGCAGGCCCTGCTGGGACGCGAACCTATCTGTGCCCAGCGCCCGAGCACAGGCACCTTTCTCTGGTGGAATTTCCATTTCCCTTCCTGCCCGGTGTCTCTATTACTTCTAGATATTTAAAAAATCTTGGCTTTTCATTCTTTCCTTTTTTTTTTAACTAGCTATTATGAACCAGACAAATTTACCTAAAATTATTAGAAATAATAACCTAAAATAATAATAACCTAAAATTATTAGAAATGTAGGTCATTTTGCTTTCTGCTTTAAAACTAGGAAGGACTGATAAAGAATAATGAAGTGGAAAAAAATGTCCATATTATTCAGTTCCTGAAGAGGGTGTTAAGCCCTCAGCTCACAGGATTATTGCCTAGGGGATCATGCTTAAAATACATGTTATTTTAATTATACCGAATAAAGGCTACCTTCTTTTCTCTTCAAATAAAAATGAGCAATGGAATTTAACACCAGAATCAAACTCTATAAAAATGGCATTTTCTGAGAAAACTCTGAAAGGAATTATCGACAGCATATGTGACCTCTGAAGAAGGAAAGATCTAGATGTGCGCATTAATCCAGGTATGAATAAGAGCCCGGGCTATTCAAACCAGGGAGGAATCAGATCCACACCGCACAGGAACCCACTGACCCCTCGCCCAAATGACTGCCACACACAGGATGCAATATGCGATTTTTTTAAAAAAAATTGATTTCTTTTCAAAATTTGCACTATCCGTTCACAAATGGAATTATTAAAAAACTATATTTCACCCCAATGAGGTAAATACACTCCAACTCTATCAAGAAAGAATGAAAATTCTAAAAACCATATGGCATCTTCGTACATGGGAAGTGAAGTAATTTTTCTATCAAACATGACATTTCTATAAGAATTAAGAATCCATGTTTCATTTTTTTATTTAGCAGCAATGATTTTCCTAATGAAATCTTATAGATTTTTAAAGAGCACACAAAATGTCTAGAATTATGCCTAAATTAACAATATTCCTAACTAATCTAATAGATCTTCATAGAGAAAAAGTAGATTGCAAAATGTTTAATTTTTAATTAATCTTTAAAAAAATACAGCTTTAAGTATAATATACACTGCTATATAACTGACATACAAAAAGCTAGACATATATAAGGTGTAGAATTTAGTCAGTTTTGACATATATAGAAACCCATTAAACCATCACCACAATCAAGATAATCAACACGTCCGTCACCATAAAGTTCCCTCCAGCCTCGCTCCTCCTCCCATCCCCACGCACTGCTGTGTCCTGGGCGCTGAGCTGGCACCTGTAGGAGCTCCAGGTCACTCACATCACGAATTAAGGAATGAATTAGCAAAGTCTTGGAGGTTAGAGGGAGGAGTTCAGAGCATGATGTGGAAATACTGGGCCCAGAGGAGCGGGCAGACGGAAGTGTTGATCAGCTCCTAGCAGCCCACGCCAAGGAACAACACAGAACTTTGGAATAAAAAAGCCTGTGTTTGTTAATCAAGTCTAATATGTCCACTTATGGCTGTTCAAACATGAAAGGGATCGTATGAGAGAGCACATGCACCGAGCACGGCACGCAGTGCCTGTTTCCGCAACTGATGCTGCTACTAGGGTCCCCACGCAGCCACAGGGGCAATCCCCGCTGGTGCTGCATATCTGTTTGCCCAGTCCCAGTGCCGCGAGGCTCTAGGGGAACCCATGCCATGACTCAGACCCTGAACACGCTCACACGGACCCGGGATTTTCATCAAATGAGAAGAGGCTGAAGAAAATAAAATCCCACTCTGTTCCTGTTATCACAGTGCTTGTCCCAGAAAACAGCAAGCCTAGCACTTCCCATGAAAGTGGCTTTGTTTAACATTCAATTAGCACCAACTCTGTGTGGCTGCCTGGTTCCCTCTTATCAGATCAGTCCCCGACCTGGTGACCGGACTTAACCCTTTATCTGGAGAAGGGGCTGCCCAAAGCATCGGGTTCCCTGTTTACGAGGACGTCAGTGCAGGGAAATCTGAGCTTCCTAGGCCGTTTCTCCTGCAGGGCCCTGGCCCCTGCCTGTGCTCAGAGAAGCACCAAATAGCTTAACGCCACAGTAATTAATCCACTTAGTAGCTGGGCCTTGGCATTCACAGATAAGTGGGGCCCAGGTGACATTTTCAGGTAAGAGGACTCCTGCCAATTCGAATGACTGGGATGGCAGCTCCACTTTACCCAACGCCTGCACCCTGCAGCAGGCTCTGTGCTCCGCACCTACCACCTCCGCTTCCCTCTGGCCTGTGCAGTCCCCACAGATGTTGCCCCTGCTTGGCAGGTGAGGGGATGAGGCAGAGAGTTTGGGTCCCCCTTCTAAGTGCTCCTGTCCAGGGCCCCTGCTGGGCATCCAGAGAGCAGAGACCAGGAAGCCCACAGGGCCGGGGTAAGTACACAGAAAATCTTAGTCCAAGAACAGACAAGGGCACCAGCTAAGTGCGTGTGATCCACGGCTTGCAAACCCTTCCGCATGGGTTCACTTTGTTTGCAGGCATTGGCCCCCTGTAAGAGCAGGCAGAAACGTTGCTGCTTAACTTGTACATCTGTTGCTCACGGTTAAACTACAGGTGAATGTCAGTCCTCTGTATCCTTAACTGTGCACCTAGAAGCCCGGGAAATGGCTGGGGGTGGGATGAGGAACGGCCGAAACCTCCCCCTTCTTGTACGGGGGCACTTGCGGAGGCGTGAACTCTGCAGCCTTCCTTGTGGGAATGTGACAGGCAGGCCTCCTCATTGAGCCTCTGGCAGCCTGTCTCTAGGCCACCACAGTGAGGATAAGGGTCCCTTGAAACAACTACAGGGAGGGTCTTCCGGGGCAGGCGGACTTCTTACAAGGCCACTGCCACACTCCCAAGGCCACCAGCCCTCCCCTCAAGATGCGTTTCCACGACGTGGGAGGCACTGGAGGCAATGCCAGGACGCTGCTCCGGACCCACACGCATGCTGCCAGCACCCTGCTGCCCTGCGCCATCTCGGGCCCTGAACAGACGCTCCTTGTAGTTCTTGGGCATCCTCCTGGCACTGTCTCAGTTCTGTCCTTAGTTCGCACAATATTATCACATTTTTCCTTTGCTGCTGAGACCCAGAGGCATAATACTGTCAGTGTTTGGAAACCCAATCTCATCTTGCTTGCTGGTTCCCCCAAGCCAGCTTGTGTTCCCGGCGCCTGTGGGAGTGAGGTGCCTGGAAAGGGCCCTGCTGCCCGGCAGCCCCCGGCTGGCAGGAACCGGGGGGAGCGTGCCCGTCCTTCTGGGATCTCAGGAATGTCTGTGCTCATCTCCTCTCAGCTCTACTTCCTGTACTTCCTTTACCCAGAACAGGGGTGAATGAGGGTCACCGGCCCCTTTCCAAGCGATCTATTTTTATGCTGTCGTCCAAGCTTCTGTGGGAAGCTGGACACCACTCACTCTCCACTGGCCACTATTTACAAGACATGGAAATGAGCAGGAAGAACAGAAACCAGGCTCACTCTCCGAAGTCTTGAGCCTGGCCAGAGACCCGCACCTACACATGGAAGGAACTGCCAGGCAATTAAAGATTCAGGAGCCACCAAGCATCAAAGCCATCCCTGGGGTGTGACTCTTATCTTAGATGCAGGAACTAGAACTTACTAAGAAAAATCAGGACTCATGGCATTAAAAAATAAATAAATAACATCAATATTTTCCTGTCTTCCTAATCTCCATGAAAAAAAAAATCTTACAAAAGCATAAAAATGATTCATTCGTACATCAATTAGTTAATAATTACAAACTGCCTTTAAACTTTTTACATCATCTTTAATGAAAAATAAATTTAGCTGAGGTCAATATTATAGTCTCCTGTTGAGGAGGAGATACTGGAGTTTTGCTATTTAACTACCTAAAATTTCAGTCTTAACCTATGGTCCATAAATATACAGCTATATTCACAGCAAACTTTTAGAAGTGAGTGAGAATACCTATCTGTCTTCTGTCTTCCATCAATCTATTATCCATATCTATCTATTAATATCTATCTATCCATCTATACATCTATCACCTATATCTATTTTTCATCTCTCTCTCTCTCTCTCTCTCTCTGATATCTATCGTCTATCTCTTTCCTTCCTTCTCTCCTGGTCATAACCCAGGATTATTATTTAGTTAAATAGGAAGTCTCCTTATCTACATTTGAGAGAGTTCTAAAAACTGAAATGTCAGTAACTTTTCTGTCTCCTGCTGTCCCTGTACTTCCAGGTGTGGAATCAGGGGCCATGGAGAGGGGGCGGCACAGATCTCCAAGCTCTAGTCTGGGCTCTTCTGCCCCAGGCTCAGGGTCCAGGCACATTCTCAACCTCTGGGCCTC